TGGTCCTTCCTTCATATGTTTCTCTAGCTGTTTTTAATGTTTTGCTCTTTGTGCTGTTTTTGGAATTTTGATTATTATATGCCTTAGTGTAGATTTACTTTTGCTCATGACTACTTGGAGTTATAGATGCTTTATTTATATGTCAAATTCTTCATATATGTTTGAGAAGTTTTCTGCCATTATTTCTGTGAAGAGATTCTTAATGGCTTTTACACTATCTCCAGCTTTCTCAGTAATTCCAATCAATCTTGTATTGTCTGTCCTTCTTTGCTTGATCACAGAGCGGATGGATTGATTTTTTGTGGTCTCTTGGGAATTTTAAGAACTTTCTTTTCATGACTGCTAGCTGCATTCCTACTTTCTAGATCTGATATGTTATTCTCATCTTCACTCAATCTGCTGCATACATTTTTGGTGGAGTTTCTTTTTTTTTTTTTTTTTTTTTTGTCTTTTTATCGGTACCAGGGATCGAACTCATGACTGCCTGTTAGTAAGGCAGGCGCTTATGCCGCTGAGCTAAATCCCCAGCCCTTTGGTGGAGTTTCTAATCTCCTCTCTGGATCTCTTTCTCTGATTCCATTTCCTGTCTATGTTTGGCATTCATGGTTTGCATTGCTTTTCTGAGCTTCTCTGTTTATCTGTGTCTGCTTTAATGTCTTTTCATAGTTATTTCTTTTTGCACCTTAGAGATTATTTTTTCTACAGCCTCTTATATTTGCTTTTTTACTTCTGCTGCTATCAATTCAGAGAGTTCCATTTTTTGACTTCCAATTTCCTCTATCTCTTTGTGCTCTGGACTTATACTGGGTGGGCTGGGTGTTTCAGATTGCATTTTGCTTTTCCGTCTTATTATTTTCTATTTTGTTCTCTATGTTGATGTTTTTAGGTTTCTAATGTTAGATAAGTAGCCTTAACACTGGTATCGAGGCTTTCCTAAGGAGGTATCTGTTCCTCAGGATGTCTCCCCTTGCCACTACTGCCATCACTCCCATATACCTCTAACTTGCACCATCATACTCCTCTCACTGGCAAGCTGTCCTGGTGCAATGGAGGAAAAAACAACACACATTCACACTCTACTTGCCAATACCACCATCCCGGGGCAACAGAAGTAGTATAGAGTGCAGATTCACACTCTACTCGCCAGCACTGCCAGCCTGGGGTAATGGAGAGAGGGCAGAACGCAGATTTGTATTACTCACTGGCACCACTGGCCTGGGGACCATAGAGGAAGAACAGAGTGCAATATCACGTTCTACTTGCCCAGCACCACTGGCTAGAACAATTTCCCCCCGCCCCCTTGAGATAAGGTCTCACTACATATTCTGGATGGTCTTAAACTCACTATGTAGCCCAGGCTGACCTCAAATTCAGTGATCGTCCTGCCTCAGCCTCTTGCGTGCTGGGATTACAAGGGTGCACCACCATTTCTGGTCAATTGCCGTTTTGTGATGCTGGGGTCAAACTCAGGGCCTCACTCATGCCAGGCAAGCACTCCAACTCTAGATTACACCCCCAGTCTCAGTACTTTCTCTAATTACAGAACATTTCAAACACAAAAGAGGTTATCCCAGTAAAAATCCACATACCCACACCATACCCTCTAGAATTATTAATTCATGGTCAATTTCACCTATTGCCTCCCCAGTTTCATTTTCAAAAAAATCCTGGATACTGTATAATTTTGTGAATAAATATTTCATAGTGTATTTTTAAAAGCATTCTTACAAAAAAGTTTCCATCACACCACTATCAGAATGTAAAAGCAAAAACAACCCCCACCCAAACAGTAATTCCTTAATATTAAATAGTTTATTGTTTTCCACACTGTCTCACAGAGTTGCTTTTTTTTTTTTTTGTCTTTTTCCTTTTTATTGGTACCGGGGATTGAACTCACGACTGCCTGCTTACAAGGCAGGCGCTTATGTCGTTGAGCTAAATCCCCAGCCCTGGAATTGCATTTTTAACATTCTTTTTATAACACATTAGAACAAGGATCCAAATATGATCCATACATCATGATTAGTTGAATGTTGCTCTAAATCTATAGGTTCTTCGCCTCCATTTTTTAATCTCCTTAGAATTTGTTGCCCTAAGAAGTCAGTTAATTCATTTTGTATTTTGTTAAATGTACTCCTTGTTCTCACTTTACATGTATCTCTGTTCCTGTATACACTATAAAATCAGTAGGACTTTTTTGACTAGGGGTTAGGGAGGACAGTATTCCATTATGTTATTTATGCCCTGTTCTCTCTCCTTTTGTGAAGCTACCAGTCATTGCTAATCTAACATAATTAATTAAATATGTTTAATAGGTTTGATGCAGTCTATCAAAATGTTTCTAGATGCAACGAAGAAAGATATTTTTCTGTTTTTGTTTAGAAGAAACCCAATCAAAGCCAGATAGGTGGTAAATGTCTGTAATCCCAGCCCTCTGGGCTGTAGTGAGAGGATCTCAAACTCCAGTCCAGGCTGTGCAACTTAGCAACATATATGGCGGGTGTATGTGTGTGTGTGTGTGTGTGTGTCAATGCAAAGACCTGGGGCTCAAACAAAGGAAAAAGAGAGGGAAGGAAGGAGTAAGGATGGGAGACAGCCAATCAGCTAATTAGCATGGGCCTCTGCCAGTATCTTCTAGTGCCTGGGATGAGAGAATAAGTTTCTGTTGTTTCAAGTTACCATTTTTGTATCATTTGTTATGGAAGATCTAGGAAACTAATATAGGCCTAGATAGTTTTTTTTTTCTGATTTTAAAATTGAATAAAATAGTTGGGCATGTAATCCCAGTACTCGAGAGGCTGAAGCAAGAGGATTTTTGCAACTTCAAGACCAGCCTGGACTACAAAGTAAGCTCAAGGCCAGCCTAAACTGCACAGCAAGACCCTATTTCAAAAAGACCAAAAATTAATTAATTTAAATGTGATATATTAAGTAAAATGAACATACAAGAGAAATAAATTGGTTAAAATATTCTTAAAACTCCTTTACTTATAGAATCCAGCTTTTTCAAATTACTTTTCAACTTCTGAGTTTGCTAATGTACATTTTTTCACGTAATATCATCCTCTGTTGCACCGAAAAATTGGTGACTTCTTAAAAAAATGATTGGAAACTAAATTATACTGGTTTTGCAATTAAATATGTAGAATTTGTCAACTTCCAACACATTGGGGAATGCTGGCACACATATCTGATTAATTCTTCCCAACATCCCCACTCTCAATAAAGGGTCAAAGAATTCAGAGAATCTACAAGACAGAGGGACTGTTTTCTCAAGCTTCAAGAACAGCATTTTGTTTGTTCACGCATCACCAGGAGGTGTAAATGATGCTGCTCCTTGGGTCAACAATGTTTATATAGGACAAATAAGACGATTTCTTTTGGGGATGTTAAAATGTGAGAAAATGGGATTCTTTAGTACTGCTCACACACAGGACAGGCTAAATAGGTCTTGAAGACCAAGAGCAACATAACCTCAGAACAGTTAGCTTATTACTTCTTTTGACAGCTTTATAGGTATTTTCTGGCAGGCTGCAATGTCTCATCCTTCTGAAATAATCTTGCCATGATAATTCTCCTAAAATGGCTCCACTGCATTGTAACTGAAAACCAAAAACTTTGAATGGTCTTTGCTTGTTCTGAAATAACCTTTATGGCATAATACACAGAAATGTCAGTTGTTTTGGTCAGAACTCTATGATTTCAACTTCCTTTCCACTGTTATTTCTGATCACCATAATCTTAAAAGATTCTCATCTGAATTTAAGAATCACAAAATAAATGTAAATTGCTGAAATTATCAATTTCATTTAGGAGACGAGGATGAATACACATACCATTATAAATTGATTACACCCTACCTACATGATATACAACCATGTACATTTCTCAGAGGATCTCTATTTGAGGTAGACATGTTATGTGGAAAAAAAAAGATTTCCCTTCATGTTTACTTAAACATAACCCATAAATAAAAACTGCATATTTAACTTATACCACTTTGTTCTGATACAATATATATTGTGAAATAATCCAAAAAACCAAGCTAATATATTTATTACCTCACATCTACCATTTTTCTTCCCCCTCTACTTGTAATGAGAAAACTAAAGATTAATTATCTTAACAAATTTCAAGCGCACAACAGTGTATTGATAAGTATATTAACTGTTGTACATCACATCTTCAGAACATCATTCATAAACAGCTTACAGGAATGTGCTCTCTGGAATGGAATAAACAGCCTAAATCCAAAGAAGGAGTCACAGAACACTAGAGATGATGTCTTTTTATTCAGGCCCTGCTACAAAACCTTGAATAGAACTATGAACCAAACACAAACAACAGATAGGAATATTTAATTGCTCTTTTAAATAATGTACCACAGGTGTTTTATTTCCAAACAAAGTTTCAAATCAGAAGTGTGCAAGCCACAACTGCCTCTAGGAACTGTAAATTTGTTCCTGACTGTTCTCCTACTACTTACAATTCTAATCCTCAAAGTACTTTACCATCTCCACAAAGGATCTCAGTACCAATTAGTGGTGCTAAGAATGCAATGTAAGGCATGTCTATAAACCCAGAACTTGGGAGGGTGAGGCAAGAGCATCATTGTGACTTCAAGACCTGCCTGGGTTACAAAGTGAGCTCAAGGGCTAGGGCTTTAGTTCAGTGATGTGGCACTTGCCTGGCAAGCATGAGGTCTTGAGTTCTATTCCCTGTATCAAAAAAAACCCCAAAAAACAAACAAACAAAAAAAACAGAGTTGTTAAACACTAAATTATTGACAAATGCTCTTTTCAGACAAACACACACCTTCCCACTCGTAACAAGAGAAAACAATGTAAGTGACTCCAGAAAAGCAAAGCTTATACAGTATGTAACACAATTTACAGTTCTGTGCACAACTATTTCTACACCAAAATATTACTCATGAGAACTCCGGTACAAGTATTAAATCAAAAAGTGACAAAGAACACAGCAAAAAAAAAATCACTTACTATATAGCAATGTCAAGTCATAAAATCTTGCACTTAACAGATCTTCTCTTATGACAGCCTTTTTTCTGCAAAAGAGAAGACCCATCATTTTGCTCATTTAGCTTTTACTCACTAACCATCAAAATGAAATCTACTGTGCATTAATTTTATTAACTAGCCTTAAAGTTTGGTAAATGTTTTAAATAATATTCTTACAGACTCCCATAAGATACCAGAATGCCAACCTACATTTTTATATACACTGAATAGTATCATTTCAGTATTTCAACAACAGTCTAGTTCGCTAACCATGAGTGGCTACTGAGTGATGTAGAACAGATTTAAGCAGAAAATTCTAGCAAAGCCAGGACTAATTGCCTGTCTGCACTCTATCACATTCTCTGCTCCAGTAATTTAAAATGGAGATTTACTACAGAGGAAAGTATCACGGCTTTCCCTTACTTGGAACTCAAAAGTGTCAGAGAGGGGTATCATAATTTTACTGCTTTAAAAGGAGAGGTAAATCCATAGACCTTGTTAGTGTGTTGGAGAGAACAAGCATATGTAGAAGACTGAAAGACAGGAACGCTAATTACCAACCCAAAAACTCCAAAAAGAAGATAATGTAAATATCCAATTGATAGGGATTTTCCACTTTGGGAAAAATCACTGAGAGTATCATTTATGTGGGCAAATGCAAACTATTATTTTGTACATATTATTTCCCTACGCTTTCCTTCTATGATAAATCACTGAAAAAAAGCAGTAAAATGTGGACTATTTTTGCTGTGATAAGACTTAAATAAGATATGAGCCTTTTGCCAGGTGTGGTGACACAGTCCTGTAATCCCAGCATTCAGAAGGCTGAGGCAGGAGGAGTGCCATGAGTCTGGGGCCAGCCTGGAGTACATGGCGAGCTCAAGGCCACACTGAACTACAAAGCCAGGCTCTTATCTCAAAAACTATGGGGACCAGGAAATACTTCAGTGGCACAAGTGCCTGCCTGGCAAGCTCAAGGTCCTGAGTTTGATTCCTGGTACCAAAAGAAAGAAAGAAAAAGAAAAGAAAAACCTCACTAATTATCTGGGCCTCACAGATCATGCAGTGATGACTGCTGCTCCCATCAAGAGTTAGGATAATGAGGTAATCTGTGGGTGTAAAACAATGCCCACCCATGACATTGTCACAGTCAGAGATAGGCGTAAGGATGAAACTACCAGGCTGCAGATGCAGCTCAGTGCATAGGCACTTGCCTGCCATGTATGAAGCCCTGAGTTCAATCCCCAACACCACATTAAAAAAAGAAAGTATGCTACTGCTATCTACTATGCAAACAATGTAATAACCAAAGCTCATTTAGAAAATTATAAAATTCTCTCTAATGCAATTAATTCTGGGATTCACAGGTGGGTTCTTATAGTCCATGAATACCTTAAAATCACTTATAAAATATAGTGTGCAAATGAGTGTTTTTCTAAAATAAAAAAATCTGTAGCTGTCTTTATTTTCAAATAAGTCCAAAATACTCAAAAATTAAGATTTAAGGAGTTTAGTGGTAGGTCCAATGAATCTCAAAGACTATCACCAAATGTTTTAATTACTAAAAATAGGAAATTAAAATTCTTAAGTCTGACTTAGTAGTATACACCTATAATTCCAGCACTTGGGAGGCTGAGGCAGGAAGATGGCCAAAATATAAAGCCAACCTGGACTACATAGTAAGTTTAAGGCCAGCCTGAACTATATAGTGAAACCCTGTCTCAAACACTTAAAAAAAAATAAACGAATACACACATTTCAGATTAAAATAAACTTAAAATAGGGCTATAGAATAGTTCTCTGCTACAGCTCTTGCCCAGCATAGATGAAGGCCTAGGTTCATTCCCCAGATGAAGGAAGAAAGGAGCAAGAGATGGAAGATAGAGAGAGGTAGGTAGAAAAAGATAGAAAAGTTTACATTATAAATATGTTGGGGCTGGAGATATAGATAGCTCAGCAGCACAATGCCTGCCTGGCAAGCATGAGGTCACTGAGTTCAATTCCCTGTACTAAAACCAAAAAACCAAAAAATTATCAACTTAAATTACTTTTACCAATTTCCAATGTACCATTCATATTCAATTTAGTTCAGAAAATGTGAACTACGTATTAAACTCAAGTATTAAGCACTATATTTCTAGACAATTAAAGAAACAAATTTAAATGTTTTAAAAATTTAAAACAGAAACACTTGCTGTATCAAGTGCCTTTTGAAATATAAGGCAACAAGTGTGAAAGTAGTTTCAACCATAACTGCCTCATGGAGGTAGATCACTGCTATTTCATTAGTTACTTTCTACTTTTTGTCCAGATACATGCTACTCAAAAGTGTGATCAGAACACCAGTGCTTGTCCATGAATTGTAACTGGTTTGTGACAGATATAAAATGAAAGTAAGCAATCTGAAATTTTAACACAAATTTATACTTTTGTAAAATTTGGTATTTCTGTTGTTTTTGTTTTTTGTCTTTTTGAGACAGGGTCTCACTACGAGGTTCAGGCTGGCTTTGAGCTCAAATTGTTACCCAGGCTGGTCTTGAACTTGCAATGATCCGCCTGCCTCAGCCTCCTCAGATTACAGGAGTACACCATCAAGCCCAGGCAAAATTTGTATTTTTATTAAGTTCTGGTCTACAGTAGTTAAGGGGGGGCAAACTAACACACATACACAAAAACCCTTAATTTCATTAAATATAAAACTCAAATTATATTCTAAGATTTTAGCTGATCCTTCGTGAAAATATCCAGTGTGTATTTTCAAAGTAAATGCACTTAAAGCTCCATATTTTTTGTATATTGATTTATTTCTGGTTTTACTTACATGGACATCACTTCTAAAGTTAATCACTAACCTTATACAGCCTTCAGGTCTTGCATGACAGGACAGCTGTTTCTTAAAACAGCTTTCATTTTTATTGTCTTTTGTTTCTCTCAGTTGTCTTTTTACTTGAACCTATGAGAAAAGCAAAAATCACCTACTTAGAATGATAACTCAACAATTCAAATGATAACCTTGTAACTGTGCCTTACCAACTCAATAAGCATGTTAAACTTTAGAGAAAGAAAATAGTAAGAAACAGAGCATATAAACAGATTAAGCAAGGGGTTGTGCACATAATTCAATGAAAGAGTATGTATTTAGCATGCGCAATGCCTAATGTTCATTCCTGTCACCATAAAGGAAAAAAAAGAAAGAAAAGAGAAAATGTTCAAAGCAGAAATGAGGCCAAGCTCAGTGGCCTAAGTGCCTGCCTGGTAAGCCACAGTTGTGAGTTTGATCCCCGGTACCAAGAAAAGAAAAAAAAAAAAAAGCAGAAACAAGCAGATTTATATATATATAAAGGACTGAGAAGTTAACTCAGAACATGTCCGAAATAACTAAATAAATGATTTATGACTCGGTGTTCAAAAATGAGTGTGAACCTGCCAAAGAAAAAACACTCTAGATGAAAGAAATAAGAGAGTTTTAAGAAAAGAAACCAATCTAGATGAAGAAACACAGGACCAGGCTGTAATAGTTTTTAAACAAGAAAATAATTCTACAGCCATCGAAGACCAAGTACAGTGTTGAAAGCAAGTGAACAAAACAATCAAATTCACTTTTTTTCTGGAAGATTAACTTTGGCAGTAATGTAGAGAATGAATCAGATAGAAGCTTATCAAAATCAGAAAGAAAATTCTTTTTTTTTTTTTTTTTTGGAGGGGATGATGACAGGAATTGAACCAGAAACAAAATTCTTATGCAGTATCTAAATCTACACTGACCAATATGATAGTCACTAGTCATATGCAGCTGTTGAGTGTAATAAGGCTTCTCTAAATGGAGATGTGTTGCAAACTTAACAAAGGCTTGCTACACTTTAAAAAAAAAAAAAGTAAAATCTGTCAGTAAAAATTCTTTACATATTCTTCGATATGCTGCATTAAATAAAATATATCACTAAGATTTATTTCAATTATTTCCTTCTACTCTTTTAATGTGCCTACTAAAGTGTTTATTTTGCTGCTTTTAGTATACTTACATTGGGCAGCACTAATCTAGATGGCAACATGAGGATCTACAAAGAGGCAACAGCAGAGGAACAAAGGACACACTTAAGAACATTAAAAAGAAAAAATAAGAAAACACAAGGGAGAAAAGAGAAGTGAATACATTAACAATTAAGGTAGGGTTCAGAAAGAAAGCAGGGATTGAAATGAGTTTTAGATTTGTTAATGCTTAAGAGTCTTTAAAAGGTTTATTATTAGATGGAGATCTACAGCCAAGTGGTTCAAAACACAGGTTTAATTCTCAGGAAAGAGTTACAAACTAGTGATAAAATACCCAGGCAGCTGGAATAAAGATCCTGTGAAGATCTCCAATGATTAAAAAAAGCAAAATGGAAGGAACTTGACAAAGAAGACTGTGGAAGTCATACAGATTAAAATGAAAATACATACATTCGCACAAAAGGAAAAAGAAGACAGTTAATAATATACACAGATAACAAACAATGGGATTTAGAAGATTATTCAGGACTTAGTAAGGACCATTTCAGTAAAATATGATGATAGAAGTGAATGCTCAATGAAAGCCAAAAAGTGAAATGAAAAGCCTCATTCAGGAAGTGTAGCTGTGAAAAGCAAAAAAGTGAAGGGCTGAAAGCAGCTAAGATCACAGAAAGATATTAAAAGACTGCAGATCTCATATCACAAAATTTAAAAATAAATCCCTTTTAACTTACAAATAATTAGCACTGTATCAAATTTTTAAATACTATCAAAGTCCTATTAAGTAAATTTTTATTCCAAGCAACAGAAGTTATCATCTCTGGAAGTTTAGTTCATGCCAATATAAAGATACTTTGAGAGAATAGTCAATGTATCTTCCAGAGAAGCCATTTTATCATACCTTACATTGTATCTTTTGCTCCAATACACACTAATTTTGTTCAATGACAAAAAAGACATATAACAAGCCAAGTCTTTTTTCACTTAATCATTTTATCTAAAATGTAGTCTTGTTTATGCTGTACCAGGCTGGTTTGATAAAAATATAGCAACACAAATGGCAAACATCTAGAAGTAAACAACTAATGCTCAAGTATTTTCCCCCCACTAACCAAACCGTCACAAACAGAACTATAATACTTATTCATTTCTCCCATTAACGACATCACAGAAGTATGCTCATTTTTAGTTATTTATCATTTATTCTCATACACTTAATTTTTATTTCTCATACATCTTACTTTATTATCCTTTTCTGTTTTCCTCTTTTCCTCATAATTCAGGAATATGCTACTATTTTATAAGTGAAAAATCAACATCAATAAAAAATCATAATCATGGTTAAGTATTATCAATGAAACAACCAATATTTAAGACCAAGACATCAATTTATATTTAATTTTTATTGGTTAATATGGGAGACAACTCCATTGTCTCCCCTTGAATGCAGAACAATTGCTGCAACTTTAATTATATGGAGACTTATTTTCTTTTTTTTTTTTTTTTTTTTTTTTTTTTTTGAGACTTATTTTCTTATACTGGTATGTAGAGAGCTGGCTATGGTATTTCCTTCTCTCTTCAATTGGCTCTAAGCATTGCAAATAGGGCTAACCAGAGGTGCTGCTTTATCTCCAAAGCCATCAGACAGTTTCCTGTTTCCTCTAGTGCTTTCTTGGATGTTAGAGCCATTAGCTCCAAGAATGTCAACTGGGTATGACACTCAAGGTAAAGAGGCAGTCCCTGGGGCACAAAAATTTACACACCGGAAACCAAAGCAACAGCTACCTAAAATAATTCAGCTGCTACCTTAATTGGATTATGCAAATTGCTCCTTCAGCATATCCTTATCTCTGTGTTTTGCAGAGATGCTCTTCTCCCTACCTGGCTAGCCAGCTCAAGTTACTCACCTAATTCCTGCCATCCTCACTCATCCTGTCACTCATCCCTGAGCCACCCCCCTTCTTTACAAGATAATAAAATTATGAGAGAGGCCTAGGATCAGGCCTTTGTTCACACATCCTCATGGGGATTGGATTTAGCGCCCTTTGGCTGCCCTTAACTTGGAATATGTCTTGGTGTCTTTCCTCTTGCCATGGGTTGCATTGGAGGTGGTAGATTGGAATTAACTTTTGGGATTTCAATATCGTCTCAATGGGATTACAAATATAACTCTTTGGACTGTGAGGAAAACCGGAAAAGGGATTATGATACTTGGATAACTGTACTCAATATTTGGGGTTACAATAGTTAACCTCAAAATTATGTTTTTTTATGAAAATAGTTTTCAGGTTTTTATTTATTTTTTGGTACTGGGGTTCGAACTCACCTCGTGCTTGCCAGGTAGGCACTTGTGCCACTGAGCCGAATCCCTGGCAAGGTTTTTATTCTTTTAATTTTTAATTTTTTTTGTTTTTTGAAACAAGGTTTCACTAAGTAGTTCAGGCTGATATTGAACTCACTACGTAGCACAGGCTGTCCTCAAACTCAGGCAACCCTGTCTCAGCTTCCCAAGTGCTGAGATTACAGGCATGTGCCACCACAACCAGCAGTTTTCAGGTATTTTAGACATGAGTATTTGTGGGAGTCAGCCTTTGAATCTAACACTCTAAACATTTTCTCACTGTAAATTATTTGAAGTATAATTCTACTAAAACATGTTTCTGAAATACAAGGACTTGTACTAAAAATTTAAGTATTCTGTAGAAGTTCAAGAGCATCAGAAATCTAATATACTTTTAAAATGTGGTGTATCGCCACTATACATGCCCTCTCAAAGGCACAAAGAAGATTTCAACATCTTTGCTGAAAGGTCTGAGCTTGTCATGCTGAAGAGGAATAACACTAAGCCTAAAGATGAACAACTTTCAAATATACACAAACTGAAAATCTATCAAAGCAAAACGCCTCAGTTAACTTCACATACTTCATGTTGCAAAATAAGACATACTTACCTTAATACAACCTTCCAAAGCACTGAATTTAAACACTGCCTGAAAAGGCTTTCGGTCAATGGGACATGAAGCCAGTGTCTGAAAAATGATTAACATATTATAACTTTTTACAAAATTTTTTTAGGACATATCACATTAAACTGTTATAAACTGTTGTAAGTTTTTCAAAGAAACAAAAAATACTTTCTTCTTTCAAATACAAAGGAGATGAAATATTCTTGGCCTGCTTCATGCCACAGAATACTTTAAATCTGTTTCACTCAAATATTCATTCAAATATTTACTCATTTCCTATTTTTGTCAGATAATTTGAATACAGTGATAAACACGAGAGGTAATGTCTGTTTTTAAAATCTCATTAAATCTTCTTGCCCTACCCGAGAACTTCTGGCATAATGAAAGCAGGACTGAAATCTACTAATCTGTGGTATAAAACAGACTGTAAATCTAAAGCTTGGGAAGCTCTATATCTACTTAAAAAGGAATGGCTTGGGACAGGCCATATGATGGTCTGAAATTTTACTTTTTAAGTCTCTGACTTAACATTCTCCCCCAAAATTAATTCTCTGAACAGGGAGTTGTGTCCTCAATAAAAATATTGAAAAGATATGGAAAACTGAAGCATTCTTTTACCTCCACTTAAGTCACTCAGATAACCTCTACAGAACATTTGTTATGTATCCCTTGTTCATATTCACAAGAAAATTCCTTACATATCTTTTCTAGCATATCCTTTGGCAGATATCGGATGCACATATAGCTATTTTGTAAATATTACAATTCATACACTGGTTTGAATTTTACTTTTCTTAAATTATATATCTTAGATTGTACCACATTACTTGTTCTTAACAGCATGGTATACCACTGTAGATTTAGTTTATATATATTTTTTTAATTTTTGGAACTGGGTATCAAATTTAGGACCTTGTGCTTGCCAGGCAGGTACTGTGCCACTGAGCTATATTCCCAGCCCTATATTTTCTTTTATATGAGTAAGGTTGAGTGTCTGAAAAATACACTATTAAAGTAAGCAGATTTTATGGGAAAATGGGAAATGTGACTTGACTTTAATAAATTAGTTCAGACTGCCACAGCTCAGCTACTTCCAAATACTAGGAATTTGATATGCTATTACTTTTCCTGCAAAAACCCTAAGAAGTTTTGCTACAAATAACAAAGCAGCATGCAACTTTTAAATAACACATTACAAATAGTTATGCTACTTCAAAGAACTCCATAGTCTAACTATATGTGATTACTGTTTATCAACTAGCATAAGGTATATCAAACTTCATTGGTTAGAGGTTATATTACCATATTTATAACATAAAAGAATATTTAAAAGTAAAATCTTTCAAGTACTTTCCATTTTTACCAAAGTTTAAAACTATTTCTATTTTAAAGGTAAATGTGTGTGAACATCCATAAAATGACTGAAGAACAAATCAAAACTTATTCCCATCAGAGTTTGCTTAAAAACTAAAATGAGTAGAGGCTCTTTACTGTCTACTTTAACATCTTGTCTTCTGTTTAAACTTGTGCATCTCTGTGCCTTAATTACCTAATTCATGAAAATAGCAACTGAACTTATCTGTAAGGTTTTTGCAGAAATTAATTCTTGGAATGTGTGGCATATACTATTATTATACAAAGTTTTGCAAACATCAATTACTTTAATTACACTAACAAAAAACTAGGATAATTAATAAAAAGACAGTATGACTTTTTTATGTTTGTGTGTGTGAGATAAGCGACCTGAATTCTTAGTGATTTTTTTTTTATTTAAATCTGCAAATTTTACTACTTGGAAATTATTCTATTTCAACTCAATACACAAAGACCCAAAGAAAGCCTCTATGTTCAAGAAATTTGCTGTCATTAATTCAATGACCGAATTTATACATTCTCATTTTTATTAAATTTCCTCTGATGACATTAGCTAAATGGCATTCTTTTCTTTATAATTCACAGTGTGACACAGCTTTAATTTTGATCATTTCAAATATTTGGGTCCTAGGTAGGACTTTCATTCTCTTTCTCCTTAGGCCTAATTGCTTTAGATCTGGTTAAAGTTTCATTTGAAGAAATGGATTCACTACCATAATAAAAACAAAGAACAGAAAGAAGTAGTAGGCAGAAAACTACTACTACATATTATCATAATCTGTACATACTTCAATATCCTAAAGATAATTTAGTTTACACTAGATCAATAATTTTGCCTCATCTTCAGCCAATAGGAAAAATTCTTAAAACTGAGTTATCTTTTCTCAGGCAAGGAAAGCACTGGTCAGAAAACATGCCACTCATCACAGACAAAAAAACCTTTGCTATGGTTACAAAACAATGCTGCCCATTTCTAATCTTTATAAAAACTGTACCAAAGCATTTCAGTGAGGAATAGGAAATACAGTAGTCCTCACAGTTTTCTTCATAGATTAAATAACAAAATCATTCAACAGAAATCAAAACATTCATAAAAATTAAGAGATTTTTAATTTTTTATGTACACTACAGGACATTTTTAAGACAACTTTAACACAAATAAAAATACATAGTTACCAAAGAATCAAATTATATATCATGTGATAACCACAATGTATAACATTTTTAAAAGATTTTTTAAAAAATAGTTTAGACAGGACTTTTTTTTTGGTACCGGGGATCAAACTCTCAACCTTGCACTTGCCAGGCAGACGCTTGGGCCACTGAGCTAAATCCCCAGCCCAAGACTGGACTACTCCTACAGCATTCCCATGGGAACTTCATCCTTACATGAAGCATAATCTATTCAAAGAACTCCAAAGACACTTTAAGTTCAGTTTTCAGGGAGTTTGTTTTGCTAAACTAACTGGTCATATTTTAAAACAGTAGGCTTTTAAAAGTTCATATTTAAAACTAATATAGAAAAAAATTAATATACTTGTTTTAAAAGTGATTTTAGTTTTAAAGAAATTACAAATTGTTTCCTTATACATAAAAGTTCAATTATTCATTTTTATTCCTTATACACAACAAAATATCCTCAATTATTATCCATTTACATTAATATGACTTCCAATAATTTCTAAAATTTCTAGTTTCATAAATCAAAGTATCTAAAAAAACACCAACTTTATGACACTGCTATAATTATTAGAATTTGTTCACTGCTTTCTGCAGTATAATGTGTACTAAAAACCAGAGCATATATTTTACAGTAAATGCTCTGAACCAGTTATATCAATTCAGGAGGCAATTTTAATAGAAAAAAATCTTTCCTAATGATTTCAGTAAAACATACCCTAGAATTCTGAAGCGTTGTAAATTCCCAGCTCAGACAAACTCATATTTAAATGTAAGAACAGGAAACCTTCCTTATTTGGGAATTCAGGATTCTTGATTCCTAATATTTCTTCCTTCCTGCTGCTGCTCTATCCTCAATCACATAGGCTGCCTATAGATAGCCCCTCCTAGAGAAAGAGAATCAAGTGTTAAAGAATAAGTGCTTAAAGCCTAAAACTTAGTACCTATGTTCACTGGTAGGTTTTCCTGTTCATGGGAATCTTTATAATACCTTTCTCTCCTACTAACAAGTAAAGCATGTTTACAAAACTGCAATTCAACTCAAAGATTTAGTCAGCGTATCATTAGACATTGATGCTTATTTTAAAGCTGTTTCCCAGGACCTATCTTTTTTTATCATGGTTCCAAGACTGGACCTCTAGAGTAAGTGTTCACCTATATTCAGCCTACATGGTCCCTATCACATTTAAACATTTTTTACAGACAGCTCTTGCCAATTCACATTAGTAAAACTATGATTCTTTTTATATCAACTTTCAGAAGCATACTCCTACAGGAAAAATGGCTGTCAGTGATCAAATTAACACTAAGAATACATTCTCTGTAATGACTCAAATGGAGTGCTTTCATGTTCTACAAGATACATTTTAACAGTTGGGTAGAATATATCTAATCTTAATTTCTTCTGATATTTAATAGTTAAGATTTTTTATTTAAAAATACAAAAAACTTAATAAATTACCTACATAAATCATTTTACATATTCTGGTATTTAAAATTAGGCTACACAGAAAATTTACCCAACTGATGAGTAGGATATTAAATTAGAACCTTCACTTATATTCTTTAGTTACACTGTCCACAACGTGAAAATACTCTGCTCCATCAAAGGATTTCCAAAGAATTAACTCACATTGTAAAAACCGCAGTGAACCTAATATATTAATCACAAATAAAAGTCTAGAGGTGTCAAATAGTACTCTCTCTAAACCACCTTAATGATGAAGACAGACAGCCCTGATTACCTACTGAAATAGTGTAATATAATTAAATAATATATCTGACAATATTTGATAAAGGACTGTTAGTAGTGTCTAAAACTATGTTTAAATTATTCTTTACAGAAATATATAATAGAGTTTACGTTATTCAAGAAATTATTTTAAAAACTAAAAACCCAGACAATATCTGTTGAGCCATTTATTCTACTGAAAATAATCTGATCACCAGAATAATACGTCAAACTCCACCTAATGAATAAAGGAACACTTAATCTACAGAAAATATCAGTAATCAAAACAAGTCAACTACTCATATCTCGATTTTGCTATATATTAGATGAAAAATATACTCTTCACATCTGTATTCAACACTGTTGTATGTCTTGAAGAACCGTATGTCATCTTTGTATGACTCCTCAAAAACATAAATGTCAACTGTTTAATTTTTGTTTCATTAACCTTACTTTTTCCCACTGAAGCTGTCAGCATTATATATGAAAGGGAGTACTAAGGTAAATATACTAAGGGAAGACAATTTACCTGGGACAGCTAGTCATATGTTTAAAAAAATACTTTAAAGGAAAATATATTACTTCAAAGATAAAAGAACCTCAGTATGTATCAAGAACATCCTAGTCAGATATCCTGTCTTTTTAATATATAAGTGAGGCTGCTAAAGGTATAATTCAGTAATAGAGCACATGTTAATCTCAGGCTCTGGGTTCAGTCTCTAGAACCTCAGAAAAGAAAATACAGTAAGACCTCTTAAATGCTCTAAACATGTATCGTTCCCAAAACTTAACATTTTAAAGACCCCCTCCCCCCAAATTATTTTTTTTTTTTTTTGGTACCAGGGATCAAACTCAAGACCTTGTACTTGCCAGGCAGGCACATATGCCGGCCCTAAAAGACCAAAATTGCCTCTTAGTAACTGCCAAATCATAAATCCTACCTTCTTACCTACTTTGTGTATACACAGGGGAAGTATCTTATCTGTGGAGGAAAAATTTACAATCAGTTGACACTGTTGGTATACATGCGGCAGATTTTTGTATCCTTCACTTTTCTAAATATCTACTTTAAAAGTGCAAACTCAGATAATTGAGATTAAATTTATGGGGGTTTTGTTTTGTTGAGAATAGGTCTCACTATGTAGTTCAGGCTGGCCTTGAACTCACCATGTTGCCCAAACTGGTCTTGAACTTGCAGTGATCATCCTACCTCAGCCTCTTAAGTGCTGAGATCACAAGCATGTACTACCACGTCTGACAAGGTTAAATTTAGGTAAAGTTAAAAACTCTATATTGTGTTTTTACTCGAACTATGGTAAAATGAATTCCTAACTTAATGAATAATAAAAACTTGGTACCCTGGCTCTATAAATATTTCATCAGAGCCAGGTGTGGTGGCATACACCTGTAAACCCTAGCATTCTGGGAGGCTGAGGCAGAAAGATCACAAGTTCAAGCCCAGCCTGCGCAGTTCAGTGACTTAGCAAGACCCTATCTCAAAAAATTTAAAAAGAGATAGATATGTAGTTCAGTGTGAAGGCCCTGGGTTTAATACCAGTAGTGAAAGGGAAAAACAAAACAAAAACCAAATATATGTGACAGTTAAATGGCATTCATTTTAATTTCACATTCTCAGTTCTAAGAGTGATAGTTTAAACACTTTCAATCTGCCTTTACTATCAATTATATCATCTTTATTCAATATTCTATTTCCGTATTATCATCATTATAGCACTACAAGCTGACAACAGGCTTACTACCTATGAAGTCCTTGAAACTTAATGCAGTCACAGTGAATTTGCTTAACTTCAATTTGTCCTGTTGCCCCTTAAGGGTAAGCAATTACACTCTGGGTTGTGAAGGCCAATGATTGGATTCCATTATGCTGAATCCTTTTGCCTAAGGTACAGTGGAATCCATGGCATACTCAAGAAAGACTACAAAAGTTCAGCTACTCAACCATTTTCAAGTCCTTATATAGCCTTTGTCTAAGTAATCACAGAAGCAAGACTCTGGAGTGTGAAGATATTGAAACTAACATCGATTTTGGAGCAGGTATTTTACAAGCATAAAAGTTTAGAAATATATCCAAAATAAATATTCTAGAGCACCAGATAGCTTCATTTTACTAAATACTGGCTTTCTACAATAAGAATTTTTCAATACATAAAATATTAAGATGAAAGTAATCACACTCCTCTGAAGTGTGATATGCCATTTGAATAATATTTTCAGAGAACCTTGACATAAATTTCAACACAGTGTACTTTCTAGTTACAGAACCTAGAATAATGATCTTAAATATTTTGTGCTGTTTTCTTATGTAGATTTCTAATTACTATAAATTTCACTTTTTATCTATTCTACTAGAAGTGAATATTAGAAAAATTTTACACTATGGGTCAATGTTTTATATTTTATATATAATAATAATAATAATAATAATATTAGGTACCAAGGATCAAACTCACAACCTAGCCCTTGTCAGGGAGGCACTTATGCTGCTGAGCTAAATCCCCAACCCTATGGGTCAATTTTTTAAAAATTACTTTAACTTCAGGCTACTGTCAGAGGTGTCTGGAAACAATTACTAATCCTAGAGTTCAAAATCCCTACCATGCATATCAAATATACATTAAATAAAATTAAAGGGAAATATGAATTAAATAAAATTAAAGGGAAGAATGTATAACAAAACCTTAGCATAGAGTATAGCTATGAGTATATAAACATATTCCTAATCTTGAATCTGAAATAAACAGCATATTTTTCTTTTTAACAAAGGAGATTTAAGAAAATGAGGGGAAAGATCTTAAGTAATGACAATGAAAAAAAAACCTCAAAAGACAAAAAACCCTCAGTGGGAAATCAGAAATCTGATTCTATTTGCCAAACCATTTAAACACTTTAAAACATATATCTAGAGTCAGAGCAGTTCAGCTGCATAAGCACCTGCCTGGCAAGTGTGAGGCTGTGAATTCAATTTCTGGTACCAAAACAAATCAAAACTAAAACATGTATCTAATTTTCATCACAGTCAAAGATTTAACTGAAAACTAAAGTCTAAGTCTAAAATTTTGTAAACCAGCACTAATTCATTCAAAGTTTGTAATGAACAGTGTATTAGTGGATTGTGCTCTTTTCACTGCTCACTCTTAATGTTTTAACTGATGCTTACTATCCCCATTAAAGACAATGAAATCAGAACGTTCTGTTTATTATTATTACTGCTAGATCCAAAGCCTCATGTATATGGAAGATGATTGGATTACGGAGCAGTACTGCTGATCTGTTGTTTGATAGGGCAGGTGGATCATTGGTGGCATGGCCTGCAAAAGCGTATGAATTTCCACCACCCCCAACTCATTCCTGCCTCCACACTCTGCTTTTCCATCCCGCCACACCATAAACAGCTCTCCCATACCCTGCCATCTGGTTCTAGAACTAGTTCACTAGACAGTGAAACCTCTACGAACTATAAACCTTTTTTCCTTTAAATTTCAGGTGTTTTGAACTGTGTTCCAGTGATAAGCAAAGTGACTAAGATAATTACTTCATTTGAACAAGAGCATAATTCTATCCCACCTTCCCTAGTCTGTTATCACAATTAGGATAGTAGTACACAGCAAATAAATACTTGCTCTTGAACAGCAATTTCACTTCAATGAAATGTGTCTATTCAATGGAGCACAAAGCAAAGAAAGAAGTACAAACAAGAAAGATATTAACTACAACACTCTACGTTATCAAGTATTTTCAATAACAGAAAAATTCAACAAGGTTAAAAAAAACACTGCATATCACTGTCTAGTAGAGTATGTGCATAGTTTATAACCTAGCAATTTCACTTCTCAGAACATATCCCAAACCCATTAACATGCACATCGTGGTAAAATTTAAGACTGTGCTGACAGATGCTATTGGAATGGGTAAGAAAGACTGGAGAGTCATGTTTACTTTATATACTCTTAACTTTCTTAGAGAAGAATCAGTATATTATTCAAGTTACAATTTATGTACACAATCATGAAAACCACTCAGCTGAAACTTCCTACTCATTCAGTATCTCTGTCTAAGGCAAAATTCTTTTTTTAAAAACTAATCACAAAGCAAACCAAGGTGCACTAAATTCAACACAGATTAAATCTTTAATTGGCTGGCAGAGAAAAATGCGCTTTCTTACTTCATTAATCAGTGCTCCTACAAATATACAGATTTACCAATCATACTAACTCAGCAAAACTCAAATACTTTTCACAACATATATTTTTACCTTTTCTTAGTTCCTTTTTGTCAAAGATGGGCTTAGATTTTAATCTAAAAGTTTCTATGTATACTATTTCAAATTCAACTGGTATGCCAAATCTTTTTTCCCTTCCCCTAGAACTCAGAAAAATTAATATAAAGCCAGCTCCCCTTCCCACAATTATTAAGGAAAATATAAATGAAATATAGAAGCTTGAAAATCCAAGTATGCAAAATCAATTATATCCAATGTATATTTAAGGGATAGTGGACAATTTTGAGTGCCACTGTTAACAGCTACTATTAAAAGTATTTTAGATATACTACCTTATTTTTTACTAATTTCTACATACTGACAAAATACCAACTCAGAAAGTACAACATGATTAAAAGGAACAACAAATTTTTATTTAAGAATTTATAACAATGGGACTTATAATGAATTAACATTTACTTCAAAGTATTCAAATTGAGTTGATGTAATACATTAAAAATCTAAAATGTGTTGTTTCTTATTTATACTCTAGAAAGAATCTTGGTAAAATCTCTACCTCAGACTTTTAAAGTAGTTGATAGTAAATTAAACACAGGAATTAGAAAATAATTCTAAATTTATATCTACACTTAAGCTAGGAGATCATGAGCAAGTTATAGATCATAAAATCTAAGATTCCCCAGCTATAAAATGGAAAAGATATTATCACATCTGTTCTGGCTGATATAAAGAAGAAATAAATATCCTACGTGAAAATTCTCTGAAAAATATAAAACAAGCAACAGACAGGTGTCATTAATAAACAGACATTATCCTACAAGAGTAACAAAAGTATGATCGATTTTCCCTATAAAGTATTCCTTAACAGGTACACATTTTAAATTCTTTAATTATAAAAGAATTGAGACAAAATAAAATCAGAAGACAATATACTGATAGAATTTAAATAATACAGGGAAATTTATCCAAAGAGTGGGGAAATACAATATTGTGAAATAATTCATGAGACTTAGTACAACTCTAAAGAGACAAAGTGAAGTGAAACATACAGTAGGGAATTAACATGGCAATATACCAACCATAGGTAATACTTTCAGACTTACCTCTGCCCATTTAAGAATACAGGTCATACAGAAGACATGATTACAACTTTCTGGAAAACCAACTTCCTTCTCTAATAGGTAATTAAGACATATTGGACATCTGTCTGCTTCACTGTACAACAGACCAGCAATGGCAGTATTATTTCTGCTTGCTTCGCCTGTAAAGTAAAATAAGCACATGGGATTTCATAACCCAAAGGACTTAAGTTTGTGACAATATGGTAAGAGTTGTTTGATCTCAAAATAATTGTGCTTAGATTAAAAAAAAAACGTATTCCTTAGGTCCAATAGCCCCAATATTTTCTTTCTTATAACAAATATATAGTGCCCAGTTCTTGGAATTGAACTCATGATGTTGCATATGCTAAGCACACATTCTACCACTGAGCTACATCCCCAGCCGACTTCATTATTTAATGGAGGAGCAAAACGAACTTTAATTTTAAAATAAGTAATATTCACATGGTTTGAAATCTAAAAAGTAAAAAGACTACAGTGACCAATCTCCCATTTGAATTTACCCCCAACCATCCAGATAACATGAATCCAACAAGTAATAACTGTTAGGTTTATGTTCTTCTAAAGGTATTTTTAATGCACAGAAAAGCAAATCTTTATATTCTTCCATATTTCACTCACACAAATGCTACATCATGCATATTAGTCTGCCTAAAAAACCCAAAAACACTGAACAGCATTTATTTTCAGCCTTTAGCCACAATAAGCAATGATGTAATGAAAAACTTTGCTATTTAACAGTTTTAAAGTATATCAATAGAATTCCTAAAAATAGAATCGCTAATTTCAATGTATGTGCACATTTGTAACATGACTATATTAAACAGATACAACCAAATGACCCTCTTTATGATTTGTACTAATTTAAACTCCTACCAATAATGTAAACAACCAACTTAGAAAAAAGTATATATTGTTAGCTCATAAGCAAATAAAAGAAACACTAAAATTCAACACAAAAATAATACTAAACAATGATGAACGGAAATGTGAACAGTACACAGCAAGCAAGTGGAAATGCTGATTTGTCCTGGGTGCAAACGCCCATACTAGTGCTCAGATCTAAAGACTAAGGTTGCCGAGATAGGGGAAGTGACAGAAGTACTGAGACTCCAATATTAAGCAAAGATCCTTAAGTAGGCTGAAGTTGTCACAGGATGGGTCCAGGAAGAAACAAATACAAATTTTTAGAGGGAACAAACTTAAGTACTTGCAAATCTACAAATTAAATTTATCGAACATTATGAAACCAAGGAAAATAAACCACCTTAAGTTACAATCAGCAGAAATAAACTTGAGAAATCTACTGGCTTCAAACAGAATATCAGACCCCGAAAAAAATATGTTTGAGCTTTTGAAGTCAAGTTTGAAGAATCTATCTAGATTCTAAGAGAAATGAAAGGAGATGCAATCATGAAAAAAAAGATGAGAAGGCCAGGCAAGGTAGCATGTGCCTGTAATCCAACACTCCGGGAAGCTGAAGCACAGGGTTCACTGCAAATTTGAGGTCAAACAAGACTGTAAAGTGAGTTTAAGGCCACTTGGAACTGACAGGGAAACCCTGTCTCAAAAAGACCAAAAAAACCAAACCAAAACAACAACAAAAAAAAACACAAAAGGTAAGAAATAAGAAAACAAGATATAATATACTAACTGAAATGCAGAAGAGAATAAAAAGAAATGAAGAGTAAATAACTGAAAAATGATTTAAAAAACATGAACTAAGGGGCTGGGGATTTAGCTCAATGGCACAAGCGCTTGCCTTGCAAGCAGGCAGTCGTGAGTTCCATCCCTGGTACCGATAAAAAGGAAAAAGACAAAAAAACAAAAAAACATGAACTAAGCAGTGGGTATTTGTACATGAAAAACATTTCTATCAATTACATTATAAGAAGACAAAATATGAAATCATGAATTAGAGCTGAATGTTGATTAGCAGAGATTTACCTACCTTACCTGTTTACTGGTTTACCTACTTAACTTTATAATAATCATATTTGTGTATTTTTAAAAACATGTTTGTCAGAGAAAAATGCAAGTACAGGTTGGGATGTATAAAATTAATAAAGGAAACATAATGTATGCTAATGAAGAAAAATGAAAATACTCTAATCTATACTCACAAACAACAGAGCAAAACAATGTAACTATAAAACATCAAAAATGAAAATAAGATTATAAAAGTAGGAAATGGGAAAAGATACATTATCTAGAAAGGAATGATAATTAGCCAAAGATTTTCCATACACCAAGAAAGCAAACAAAAAAATGATTAAATAATATCTTCAAAGTACTCAGACAAAAAAATTAACCCAGAATTATATAACCATCTCTAAACAGTTCTGAAGAAATATAAGAATTTAAGAGTACATCACCAATAGACAGATTTTCACTAAAGAAATTGCTTAAGATTATTTCCAAGAAGAAATTGATGAAGGTGAAAGAGAACCAAGCAAATACTGTATGAAACATCTGATTTGTGGTATTTGAAAAGAACCAAAATAATAGAAAACTGTAATCTATAAATCTAAAATAGGGTTAGTATTAAAGGTTCTAAGGTTTTTCTGTTGACAATGAAGATTAAGCTAAAGTCAGAAGCAGAGGAAAACATTAATGCTATTAAAAAGACAAACTCTTAAGCTGGCATAGAGCTTACAAGTTGAACAAGCTGAAAAAGATAAAAACAAAGTACATAGTTCAACAACATTTTTTAAAAAGTACACAATTCAACAACCCCCCCAAAAAACCCATAAACAAAATTAAAACATGAGAGGAAGAAAAAATATATATGCTCATAAATAATTTCAGAATTTAAAACAAAAAAATGTGTATTTTTAACATGGATAAAAATGAACAGTTTGAAATACCGTTTTGCTTTCAACACACAAACTTTATAAAAATGAAGTTACCTTCCATATCTTCATGCTCTTGATCTCCCATGTGTAGGGTATATACAGTTTTCTTCTTCATTTCTCCTTGAGAAAGTGTTTCCTATAGAACGAATGAATTAAAGAGTTCTTATGTTTGCCTTCTCTAAATAATGTCAATTAAACAATAGGTAATTCTAAACTATAACAAATTATTTTACACATCAAAGAACACAGTACAAATCAGTTTTCAGATAACTCAATATTCTTTTGGAACACCTACAATAAAGATGAAGTCTTACTTAAAAGCCTTCTATAAAAGCCTTACTGAGTGACAGAGGCTAATAATAAATTCAGTAGCAGACAAAAATACAGTCCAAAACAAGAAAAAGGAGGACTTGAAATGGAGTTTTCAAGAAAGATGACAGGTTATGCACTAAAGAAATTGGGGCATCCTAACTGGGCATGGTGGTGCATGCCTGTAATCCCAGCACTAAGGAGATTGAGGCAAGTTACAAATTCAAGACCAGTCTTAGCTACAAAGTGAGCTCAAGGCCAGCCTAAACTGCACAGTGAGACCCTGCATTAAACACACACACACACACACACACACACACACACACACACACAAGAAATTAGAGCATCCAAAGAGCAACATACCACAGAAAAACTGGAACACATTTAGCTAAACCAACCTGATGAGAGAAAGTGAATCTGAAAAAAGTTGGGAACAAAAGCCAAGAACTTCCTCTGAATGGTCACACAGATGATTAATAAAATAACAGCAATGCAAAACAAGGAGGGCTCGAATGATTAATCGTAAGTTTATTTCAACCTTACAATTCCTTGGAAGGAAAGTAATATGACAAAAGTTATCTATGGCTGCAGATGTAGCTCAGTGATAGACCACTTGCCTAGCTGGTGTGAAGTCCTGGGTTCCATCCCCAGCACTAAAAAAAAAAGATGTATGTTTACATTTTTTAAAAAGATTGTTGTGTGAAGTACAGAATGAATTACAGAGGAGAGAGTTTAATTAGAAGCAAAATGACTTTTGCAGTTTAAGTATCTGGTTGTGACTTAAAAAGCAAGAAACCAGAGAGCTAAATAATTTCTGAAATTTGGTGAGCAAATATGGGAAAGGAGTTAGATTATTCTGGCCTAGAGGTTTAGAAAATGGTGATTCTAAGAGGCAAAATGACAAACACGGAAAAGGAAGTCAATTTGGCAATCAAAGGAAAGAAATATATGAGATAAAATTTTTTTTACTCTTCTCAGTATTTGTTCTTGAACCGATACAAGACATATGACTGCAATGCAAGGTTCAAAAACGTTTTAGAATGTCTAAGCATGAGAAATCTTACAAGTAGCCTAAATGTCCATTAACAGATGAAGAAATAAAGTGTTTACATGCATTGGAGTACTATTCTGCCAGAAAGAAAGATAAATGAGTCATTTGTAGGAAAACGCACACACCTTTAAGCCACAATATTCAGTGATACAAATCATATACACAAGACTATCATATGGTTCCTCTTAAATGAAAAATCCAAAACATAAACAGCGAAATAAAAGGTAATAGGAAATAGGGAATCTTTTTTTTTTTTTTTTTGGTATTGGGAATTGAACTCATGACCTAGCACTTGCCAGGCAGGTGTTTATGCCACTGAGCTAAATCCTCGGCTTAATAGAGAATCTTTTGCAAAAGGGAATTATCAAGGGATGGAAGGAAGAGCAAGGAGAGGGGAGGGGATGGAGAGAGAAAAAAAATTAAGTGCGTTACATACATGTACCAACTCCTCACAAGGACTATAATCATTATGTGCTACAAACATGTTCTAATAAAAAAATGAAAATGAGTAACAAAATCTCCAATTTCTTCAACTGAAATTCTCCCACTGATATCTGAGGTAATTTTTCTGATTATTTTTAAAAATAATATACACACGCTAATTTCTACCTTAAAGATGATTTGACTAGGCAAATTCTATATTTGGTAAAATGGAGAAATATGCAGTCTCATCCTTTGGTTATAAAACAAGTGCAGCTGCCTTCCTTCCATCCATTCATCCAGCACTTAAAAGACATGCACAATCATTTATGAGGCCCTAGATTCACTTCCCAGCACTCCCCTAAAATACCATTTTTTAGAAAGCTGTTAGAGAAAATAAATTTTTGTTTTTTGAAACAGGGTCTCACTATGTAGTTGAGGCTGACTTTGAACCACGCTGGTCTCAAAATCAACCTTCTGAGTGCTGGGACTACAAATGGGCACTACCACACCCAGACTGTAAGTTTTAAAAATAATCATGAGAATCAAGATGGAGTTGTGAGCAGCACTTAAATTCACCCTTTCTGGGATCTGGACTCCAGAAACTGGAAAATAACAATTTGGGAAAGAAGAAAAAAGGCGGGGGAGGGGAAAGAGGAGAGTCAAGAGGGCAGAAGGGAGGGACAGGAGGGGGGAGGGAGTGGAAGGAAGATGGGGGAGGGAGGCAGAAACAGATTGCTAGGAATTGGGAAGAGCAGACAAGAAACTTAAAAGCTATGGAGAAGGCTGAGAGATGGGCCACAACTCAGACAAAGAAACAGTCTTGGGCTGCTCCTGGCTCATAGAGAGGGAGCCTTATGAGATAAGCGCTGGGCAATTCAGGGAGTAAAGGTTATGGCAGACTAGGCCAGCAATGCAGCAGACTTCAGGCAGTCGTGAGTTGCAAGGAGAACTTGGGGTTTTATGCCAAAGCGGGGTGGGAATATCCCTTTCACACAGGCACCAGTAGGACAGGGATCCCAGCACAAGCTGGAGAGTGTTTAGTTGGACGCTATTCTGGGAAGATGTTAGTTATCTGAACCTGGAGTTCAGAACAGCTAGGGGATGGTTTCACTTCAGTGTCTCAGTGTCACTCCCCTACACTGAGGATAAGAGACAGCCAATGAGACAGTGTGGGCAGACAGCAGACCAGAAAGAGATCTGCAGAGGGGCTTAAGCATGGGATAGCAGGAGCCTAATTCCTCACTGGGAGGCCAGGCCCACCTGGAGTTGCACTGAGTACTGGAGTCCTTGGCCCCCTGAATACGCCCAGTAAAGATAAGGGTCTGACTGCCTTCTCTATCAGTATGAACAGTAACATCAGGGACACATCTTTACATGGACATTGCCATAACATGGGATAAACAAAGGGGTTCCTGAAAGAGTCCCTCTCAAACCCACAGCCTGTAATATTAGGCAGAAAAAATCATTGATTCCTAGACTCCAAAACTGTGGATACAGGAAGAAAATAACTCACTCAAAAACAGATTTTTTTTTTCTGGTTTTGGTCTCTTTTTTATTTCTTTTTTCATCTCTACTAGTTTATTGGGATGTAAGGAATTTTCTTTGTCCTTCCTTAGTTTTTCTCTCTAAACTGTTTTTTCCTTTCTGCTACCTATTTTCCTCTTAATTTTTTTTTTGTCTATTCTCCATATTATTTTTCTTCTTCCCTCCTTTTAACTTCTATTTTAGTTTTTTGTTTCCTTTATTCCATAAATATCATTTTACTTAATAGGATCCTTTGACTTAGTTCTCTCTTCCTTCCCATTTCCCAATGTTTGATTTTAAAGGTTTTTTCCTCTTGCAGTCTACTGTTCCCAGCCTTCACAGTTTTCATAGTATAATCAGTAAGTGCCATTAATCTTTGAATAGCTTACCCTATGTCCTTACTGTCGAATTTCTTTCTATCATTAGTGGAGGTACAGTTGTTGGATTCAGTACATACATGCTGTATGTCAGTATCTAGGTTGTCTTAAGTGTTTACGCTATATGGTAATTGTGGATTTCTTTTATATGGTTGAGGGTGGTATATTACTGGTTTACACAGTATGTCAATATCCAATTTGTCTCAAACAGTATTAATGTTACAGATCTGTCTGGCATTACCAAGATTGCAAAATTATTGCTATTAATGAATTTTCTGTGTGCCAATATCCACATTATTTCTTCAACATGAACAATACTGTACATATTACAGTCCGTTCTCAAAAATTGTATACTTGACCACTGCATCTTCCCCTCCCAAATTAACAGAAGCAGTTGGATTTTGAAACATAGCAAAGTATTATAGCTAGCTACATCCAGAATGCATAACTGAAAAGCAAACTAAAGATATCTCTCTTGTGAGTCTTTCCACTATTATAACTGTCTTCAAACATAGCCACAAAACAAAAGAAACAAAAAAATAAAAGAAACATGAGACGACAAGGCAGCAAACTTCTATTCAAAATTCCCAACTCCCTGAAAGTCAACCCTGGGACATCAGATACGAAGAAAGCACCAGCCACACACTTCAAAAGGATGACAGAAGACTGAAAAACGGACCAATGATGTACTCAATAGATCACTGAAGATAGAACTATACAGTTTATGAAGTATTAAAACAATCAGGAAGTTTACAGAACAGACTAGTAAAAAGCTACCTGGGCAAAACAAAATGATACAAAATGTCAAAGATCAGTTTAGCAAAGAATTTAAGAGTATGTGAAAAGGTTCCAAACAGAAGTCTAAGCAATAAAAGAATCATACTGAACGCATGAGCAGCAGAAACAACCAATGTGAGGACAAAATGTCAGAATTAGAAGAGATGCTTTCAAAGATCTATTGCTCAGGGACTTTACAAACTACAAAACAACAGGAAAAATGAAAGCAACAGCTACTAGGAGATGCAAGAACACTAAGTTATAAAGCTACTGTAATAAAAACATACTGGCACAAAAACAGACATGAAGCTCAAAAAATCAAAATAAAGTCACAACCCCAAGCACATCCAACTATTTGATTTTTGACAAAAAGATCAAAAACATACACTGGAGGAAAGATAACCCCTTCAAATAAATGGTGCTGGGAAAACTAGCTATGCATATGCATAGGACTGATTCCAGACCAGTATCTCTCACCATGTATCAAACTAAAACCCAAATGTATGGAAGAACTAAATGTAACAACAGAAACACAGCCTGCTAGAGACTAATTAGTTAAAACTCTTGAAGGCATAGGTAAAGATATTCTGACCAGACCCCAGTTGTATAAGGACAGTTCAGACAGAGGATTGATATCTAGAATATATAAATAATTCAAAGAAATTAGACTCCCTC